TATTTTAATTTGTGTTTTATTTCTTTTTGTTTTCTTTTTTATTTTATTTATTTATTTTATTTTATTTGTCTCAGTTTTATTTTATCTGCTGCGTTCTGCTCTGCTGTATATATTTCTATATTTGTCTTTTTTTGTTTTGTTTGTATATTTTGCTCCGTTTATTTTATTTTATTTTATTTTATTTTGTTTTATTTTGTTTTATTTTATTTTATTTTATTTCGTTTTGTTTTATTTTATTTTATTTTATTTCGTTTGTTTTTATTTTTTGTTTTTTTATTATATACTTGTTGCATTTTGCGTTATCTGTTTTTATCGCTTTCTGTTCATGTTGCTGCTGTTGCTGCTGCTGTTGCTGCTGTAGCTGCTGCTGCTGCTGCTGTTGCTGCCGTTGTTGCTGCTGCTGCTGCTGTTGCTGCTGCTGCTGCTGCTGCTGCTGTTTTTGTTGTTTGTTCGTTGATGACGCTGTGTCTTAGTTTCTGTTTTCTGTATTCGTTTGTTTCTGCTGCTGCTGCTGCTGCTGCAGCTGCTGCTGCTGCTGCTGTCTGCCGCTGCTGTTGTCTGCTGCTGCTGCTGCTGCTGCTGCAGTTGTACTCAAACACAAAAAAACAAAAAAACAAATAAGCAACAAAAAACAAATAAATAAATAAAAAGAAAAAAACAAACAAACAAACAAATAAAACAAAAAAAAACAAATATGAATGAAGAAAGACAAAAGACAGGGGAGGAGATAAAACAAAACAAATGCAAACAAACAAACAAATAAAAAAATAAATAAATAAATAAATAAATAAATAAACAAATAAATAAATAAAACAAACAGACAAAAAATAAATCAGAGCCACAAAAACAAAAACAAAAAAAAACAAAAAAACAAAAAAAAACAAAATAAAAACGAAAAAGCAAAAAATGATTCAAGGCAAAAAACGGCCGTCCAAATGCTGCAGGCGCTGCTGCAGCTTGAGTGTATTGGTGAGGTGTGTTGCGATGATGTCTGTGGGGTTTTGTC